ATCGTGGACGTGACGTAATCAATACATACTGACAATAACGCCTTACCTCCTTACGTGGGGTGGGACAGCATAAAGCGACAAACTATCGTCGAATTTGATATGCTGTCTCACCCCGGTAAGGCGTTATTGTCAGTATGTATTGATTACGTCACGTCCACGATCGTGGATTAATTAAAAGAATGTAAAGGTATTATGCTATTATGTCAACTATATTTTATTGTTAAAATGTATTTATTTGACTAATTTAAGAATGTTTTTAAAATAGTTTTGATTGACTATAAAATTTGTTTATAAAAACCGTTAAAAACCGGCAACACCTGATCATTCATTCTGAGATTGGGCCGCCTGTGGTCGAACAATGCATGGTGAGAAGTTTCCAAACAATTCCCGATTTAAGCATTTCCATAATATTGAGCAACAAAAACATGGCCACTGTGGCTCACATGATAAAATCTCGGCCTGTGATTGGCTTGACACGCTGCACCGTGGCTCAAAGTGGCAAGAAGTTACTATATTTAGTAACATCAGAACCGCGGACTGTGGCTCAAAATCGCAGTCGCATTTTACGAACATTTTCGAAACTTAGAATGATCAACTTCAAGTAGTTCTCGGTTATCGTCGTAGAAAACATTCAACATTCAGCAAGTGAGGGGTTTTCCCTATCTCCTCCACAGGCGTTTTTGGGGGGGTGGTTTTCCCAAGGTTTTGGACCTTTTACAGCTCGAGAATTACATCTTTTGAGATATTTACGTTTTTATTTCGCGATTTTATTGAAAATCAAATAACAATAAGATGTAACGATGAGAGTATATATTTGTTTAAATTTAAAAGGTTTGGGACGCGAACAGATATTGTAAGGTAGCATCTGGAAGACACTCTAAGGATTTGTGATGTCAGTGCAATGGGTCTATATAAAATTATAACAAACCTTTTTCCTCAATGTCCTTGTCATCTTCCGCATTTTTGTTCTCTGCCTTCTGGCTGCCTCTGACATTTTCATCGTGTGATTCAAGCTGTTGTCTAAAAGTCTTGTCTGCTGTAGTCAATCTCTAATTATTAGAAATAAGTTTTAATTATTTAATCACCCATCGGTTTATACAGTTTTATTTTATTTTACTCCAAGAGTCCGGTACACACTTGCAAGTGTGTTTTTTTTTATTAAATGTAGTATAATTTTATGTTGTACAAATATTAACATACATGAATACATGATAGTTAAACCACTGTCACTGATTTCCTCTTATCCACATCCATGGAAGTGGTCTCTTGACACTCTTCTTTGCATTGTGGAAGACTTGAACTAACAGATACAGTACTATAGTGATAATTCAAACAAAATACATGTAGTTGCAAAATTTACAAATATTAGAGATTGACTAACATACTTTTGTAGCAATGCTTTATGCTTGTCTTGAGGAAAGTTCAAGCACTAAGCACCTACAACAGGTACATGGTTCACTTACGCAGATGAACGTGCCGCACACTGACGCTGGTAGGCTTTCTTTGCCTTTGCAGCAAGAGGCGATCCGTCTGACACTGCATCATTAGGTGCCGTCCTTTGAACTTTATAGGCTTTTGTAAGGTGAGTAGAAAGGGAGGATGGGTTTCCTCTTGCCAACCAGAATTTTGTTTTCCCCTGCTTAAAATAAAGCAAGCATGTTTTATTAAAGAAAACGTGATAATTGCTGTGGTATTAGAGAGCTTAAGCTTCATGTTTAATGACAAACGTCAGACAAAGAAAAAATTTAGGCTAAAAGCAATAAAAGTAAATGGGCTTGTTGTTTTATAACTAGCATGCTTAAGTATTCCTGTGTCATATGAAAGAAAATATGACACACAAAAATCGAATGAAAATTATGCCAAGCAAAGTCGGTCTTGTCGTTTGCCGTTCCTGCAAAGGTGAAGCTTAACCTTACCTCCCTATTATTATTCATTGCAATATGCTTATATGCTGTGATAAATATTTTTCAGGTAGTTGCATCCCTAACCAATGAAAGTTTGTTAATATTATTGGCACTACCTACAGTTGGCACCAGACAGTTCAGTATTATTGCTTTACCTTCTTCTGAAACCTTCTTAATCCTCGTCAGTTGATGTTGAACAAGGTGGAATAGCATGGCAAGCTTTCTTGCAAACTTTGCAAAAATGACTGCCATTGTATTCCTTCTTACATGAAACACAAACTATGCAAGAGAAAAAGCAAATATGAGCATCACTTTAAGTAAGCTTATTCCGAAAATCAATTTATTTATTCAATTATCAATTTATCACATTATGATCATTCTATTTATGACTGTACTGGAATAATGGCAAAGAGGTCACATGTCTTAATAGCCCTCAGGCGTTCGTTAGGCCTATCTGCCTCTAGCCAGCTTTTAAAGCTATGGACAATAGACTGCACCAATGGTCAATGGGGTCCAATGAGGCAATGGTATAAGTCATTGATCAACACTTAATATTAAAATTTCATTATTCTGGTTATCCAAAGAGTAAGGATCTAAACTCTAAATAAAATGAATATATATTAACTGAACAACATTCACCTAACAAGAGTTACACTATTGAATGTGAATATTAAAATGTATAAGTATAAAAATCCTAAGACTAAAAGTTGTTTAAGTAAATTAAGTAATGAGTTGTAGAGTCTAATGACTAAATACTAATGAGATACTGTATCATGCTCACCAGGTTGAATTATCTCTACCTCTGCCATTATATTAATTTTTCACCACGAAAAGTGAAAACAAGGAACAATGAAATGCAATACATGAGTGATGAGGAAAAAGTTTTGGTAAATTGGTTATTGCACTTATTGGTATAAATATTAAAATATAAAATATGGTATTTCACTATGTCTATTTTTAGTCGCAGAATCAAAGAATTTCCAGTTTGGTGAGTTCGCACAATCAAACTGTTTATTTACAGGATTACAGTCTTTCTTAGACTCTTGAGTCTATGACTATAACACCTTGTGGCTCTGCCACTCGCAAGTCAATAACTTGTGTTCTTAAAATATTTTGTCCATTTTACAGGATTTACATGGTTTAGTCTTTCTGCCAAAATATCCCATATTCAGAAAAGGGAAAAAGGACTTTATAAAACTAAAAAAGTTAAATTGTGACTAAAATTCTGAATCACCTAAGGCTGTAAGCCGCTTTAGTGCAGTTGGACAAATTTCCTTATTTCCATACACGCAAACAAAAAACATTTAAAACAATCGCTATAGACTATAGTATAATTGATTACATACCAACATACATATTCTCACCTTAAGAAATTGAACACCCAATGTCTCCTGAAGATCTCAAGGTGCTTAGATTTAGATGCACATTGCATGGTAAACAAAAAACACTTGATAGTGTTGATGTTTTGCCTTGAAGGTCAAACCAAAAGAGCACAACACTGCAAAAATTCAGGATTGGCCTAACAGCAAAGATCAGATTTCTCACCGCCAAATTTCCGTTAGCTATGCTCACCGAATCGGAAGTAAACTCATTAAATTCAGGCCTCGAGGCGTGTGTCTGGGGGCAGCCAGGCAGGGGACCTTCAGCTAATGACTAGTGTGCATTTTGGTGTTTTGCATGTCCAGCCATGCACAGGGGTGCACATTCCAAAAATTTCTGGGGGGGTGCCAAGTTTTTGGGGACGGACTTTCATGGTTCTGTTCCTCTCATTCCTAACGGCCTGCTCCATCATATTCTAAAATAACTGCTAGTTCACAAAAGCCCTGGGAACGAGGTTTAAGCTACTGTTTAAAGACTACAATCTAAAAATGATTAATAAACGCATTGGAGCCGGGATTCCTCCAATTTGTACATGCAATCAGAAAAAAACACATCAAGAACATTTGAAATATAGACTATCTATTTTTGTAAGCATTTTTATTTTTATAGCTTCTGAGATAATAACCTTATAAGTTCAAACCATTTAGATAAACGTTTTAGCAGAATTAGTAAACTATATACAGTTTGTAGAATCATCGATTCATCGTTACTGGTTTTTAATTCTAAAATTTCATTGAAGAAATGCTTCCTGTATTTGTAATATTATCCCACACTTATCAAATGTCGTGTTTTTGCCCAACGATCCACAATTTCATCCAGATTAATCGTGTCTGTAATGTCAGTTTCGCATCCAAGCATCATCAAACTTTTAAGTCTCTCTTGTTTCATTACTGAATGCAGAACAGTCTTAATCAATTTAAGCTTTGAGAAACTGCGTTCTCTGGAGGCTGACGTAATGGGTGCTGTCAAGATCAAGTGATAACATCTGTTTGTCAGTGGAAAAATAGAATTTAAAGATTTGGCACAATGTGCTGCCTCTGCGAGCGATTTGACGTCTGGCTTGTTTGCTTGGCAGTGATGCCTAAACATTGTGAGTTCAACATTTAGGGCACTTACGTCAGGCTGCAGGGTTTCAGGAAGCATTTTTACCAGGGCCTTGAGCTCTTCTGGTTCTGGCTCTTTGTTGAATGGTGGAAGAAAAAGGTTGATAGCAGGTGTGAGAATGTCACAAGCAGCCTTGACGTTAGCAGTTAGATTATGGATTTGGACGTCCAGAAATTGAATGAATTCTTTTCTGAAAAGTAAGGTTTGCAGTTGTTTCTGGTCTTTCGTCGAATCTTCTCGGCTTGCGTCGTGGACGATGATTTCGCTGGTACTCGTCTTCAGCATCTATTTCATGTTGTGCAGAAAAGATAACAGCTGCTTCGATTTGATTGTCGAAATTGGTTTTGTCATCGCGTAGGTGGGGCGCAGTGTGGCAATAGTAGCTTGAGCAGCCTCAAGGGTATCAACGATGTTGATATCTACACTCTGGACTTCTTTCGTCAAAATCTTCGTCTTCATCATAACATTTCTCATGAACATCAACATGATAATAAATTCAAATGACTTCACCCTTCACAGTAGGTTGCTTGCTTTCGTTTTGGTCTTGGGATCGTTTGAATCTTTCAATTCTTCAAGTGATTCTACGATTTCGTCGTAGCTCAACCATACTGCTCAAATAGAATCTGCACGGGCACTCCAACGTGTAGCCGAAAGATTTCGTAATTCCAATGCTCCTTCGACATCACTCTTCTTTACTATCTCATGGAAAACGTTGTATCTCTTTGCGCTCAACGTAAAAAAGACAAACAGTTCCTGGAGGATGTCAAACATATTACACACGGTGTCACTTGCTTCACAGCTATACTCCACAGTTGTATTCACTCGATGTGCAAGACATAGAAAGTAAGGCACTTCCTTTCCAAGACATTCTTTTAACTTTGCTTGACAGCCCTTGTAGATACCAGACATGGAAGACGTATAATCGTATGATTGGAAAACTACGTCGGCAGTGTCGAGACACTTTTCATTCAGCGAAGAAATAATTCCTTGAGCATGACCATCACCCGTTTTATCATGTATTACCTTGATATCCACAAGACGTTCTTGTGGATTTCCCTCCGCATCTACGTATCGTGCGACCACAGAAAGTTGATCAACGTGGGACACATCAGGTGTTGTATCAGCTATGACGGAAAACATTCCAGCTTGATTGATTTCAGCAGTGACTCTGCATGTAACATCTTCTGCTAATAAGTCAAGGAATTCATTTTGAGACCTGGAACTAAGGTAATCGACTCTGTGTGGTCGCCTGGGGGCATCATCCAACCATCTCTTAAAGGAAGGCGAGTGTCTGGCTACCAAAGAAGTAATTTGCCGAAAATTACCATTTCCATCTTTCTCTGAGGAAGAACCACGAAAAGATATTCCTTGACGTGCGAGAGTTTGTGTTATGTCCAAAAGTGTATTAATGGCTTCACGATTGCGTTGCAACTCCGCTTCTTCTTCAATCAAAACTTTCCTTCGTTCTTTATCAAGTAACAAAGCAAGGTGGCTGGACATATTCTGGAAAGCCAAGAATGCATTAAGAGCTGCTTTATGGCCGGAGCTTGCAAAATGCTGAGATAATTTCCCTGCATTTCCTTTACCACGACTTTTCATTTTGTGCCAAGCTCGAACACCGTCCACTGTCCAAGCATCACATACTTCGTCAGCCTTGGGATTTCCGATCCCAGATGAAAATACCTGACAAACAAAACAGAATGCAGCATCTTTTGTAATGGAATACTCAAGATGTGGATAGGAATTGTACCATTCCGAAGAAAAATGGCACTGCTTTGATTCAGCAATCTTGATATTTCTTGGATAGCTTTTAAGCATTGGCTGAAATGGACCTTGTTGGATCATGCACGTTCTATCTTCGTCGGTTAAGATTCTTCTTCTGCATCCTGGGTCACAGTTAATGGGTGTAAATTTTGTTGATGCAAATTCGGTTGTCTTTTCCTGAGAATTTATTCCCGCCAATGCTTGATGGGTGTCGGACAATAAAGAAGTGGACAAATCGCAAACACGCTCCACTACATCAAGTAGTTTGCCAAGTAAATTCTCCGGTTGTGGTGCATCCACTTTTTCAACTCTTGAAATTAATTCCTGACACTCTGACAAGTTTCCACAAAGGTGGCTAAGCTTCCCAAAACAGGAAATCCAGGATGTGTATTCACTCGTTGTTTTAATAACGATGTCTGAATCGTTATCAGAATCTGCATCCGAATCTACGCTGGTTAAATTCTCCTATAAAGTATGGCATTTGCTTTTATAGTAGTGACTGTTTCAAAAATATCATAATTTGCAAAAAGTAAAAAATATACGAACTTGTCTCACTTCTAACATGCCCAAATCTGGACTATTAATTGGACTTAAATAAGGACTTTCGTCAGCTTTTCGCAAACCCTTTTCTTCAAATTTTGCAGGCTCTGTCCATGATCATTTACCAGGTAATAAGTCCTGCATGAGCAAATTATTATAAATGTTGTAAAACCATAATAAACAAAGTGATTGTAGATACTACTAATAATAATTAGCTAAACATCATATTACATTACGTACAGGTGTAATTCCAGGCGAATCCCTGTCAATAGAAGGTCCTGCAGGGGCAGAATCGTCCTGGTTTTCTTCTTCAGACCAAGAAAAGTTTGCATTCACTTTTGTTGTCAATGCTAAACTATCACTGACTGCAACAGTCAACTGTAAAAGTATATATTTATGTTAAATTACACACTTTAATGTATGCCATCTCAATTCTCAACTTGGTATTTGGTAGTTGGTACTACCTTGAAGGTAAATAATAACAAACCTGTTCAGAATCCTGCAGTTCTCAGTCTTCTGTCGGCAGCGATGAAGTAGGACATCTTGAAGTATCCATGGAACTATCCTTATCCTTATTTTTCGGACCGAATGACTGTAAAGAAATAACCATATAATCATGCATATATGACAAATATTTTACATTATATTTTTAATGAACTAATATGGCCTACAGTTTACTGTAACTGAAAACTAAAATGCTAATAGAAATAATTGTATCACATTTTGTTTAAAACCGAATAATATTTTGCTGTGTCATGTCTATCAAGTTACATTATTTCAGCATTGGACTAGACGTCCAGACTCCAGACACCGCAAGTCTGCAACATTACTTTTATTCTGACGATTTCACCAGAATTGGCAGAAATCACAAAGCATTACAAGAAAGACATAATATATATGTAAACAAACCAACTGTCTTTGATTCTTGAGGAGTAGGGGTAACGTACTAGCAGTATATTCAGGGTGCATCGCCTTGCAATGTTTTCCCTTGTGGTCATTGTCAAACACTTTTTTGCATAAGACGCACGTTACTTTATACCGAGTGTTTGGCATCTGAAACAAAATGTAAAACAATTGTTATGTTTCAAGTCTATCTGTTACTTTGAGTAACATCAGGGCCACAAAACAACAAAATCAGAATACAAGTCACCATTCTTGAATATGCTGACTTTATTGGCCGCATATGCTATAAAAGATTATTTTTTCTACATTTTTATGTTTCATAACTTAATTATTTTCTACAAAATATACACATTTTTATGTTTCATACCCAAAGGCCAAAGCCAATTAAGTTTTGGCGATTATATTTACTTAAAACATAAGTGCGTCGATTATAGTTAAAGTGGCCTACAGTTTAACACTTATACGTAGTAGTTGGATATATTATAAGAAGCTCAAGCATGTGTCTAGCCATTTGGCCAATTCAGCATAAAATATACATAAAGAACGAACATACCTGGAATGAATTCTCAGTCTTTACTATTCTTCTTAGATCTTAGTGCCAACTATCCAGTATTTTCTTGATTTTACAATCCAGTATTCTCGTGATTTTTAACGATTGCGTGCTTGATGTGCCAGCCGCCGGATAAGACATACGAGACATTGTTTACAAGATAATGTCAAGTCTCAAAGCACTTTGCACCCAGCAAATGGCGGTCAAATTTCAAAACTCAAAATACGCCATTTGCATTTGAAACTCACTATTTCATTTATCAATGCAGTTATATTGAAGTACATTAACACATGTTTCTTTTTTATCTCTTTAAGTAAAGAAAATATGACAAAAAAAGATGAACAACTTTAATTTATCCTAATTACATAAATATATCTACATAGTATATCGGATGTTCGGGGACCGAACTGGTTATCTGATATGCATTTTTTGGGACCGACTTTAGACCGATTTTGAAAAGCTGGGGGGGGGGGGTGACACCCCCTCAGCTTTTCAAAATCGGTCTAATGTGCGCCCCTAGATCCCGGTTGCACAATACAAACTTTTCAGTCTGGTATCTTTATATCCAGGGCTTATCTTTGGAACAAATTGTGACATGTTTAATTGGAATATGGATGTCAATGACGGATTTAAACTGATTGATCCATTGACCATTGAGAAAGCTGTATTATAAAGCTCAGCCACATCAACATTATTATAATTACGAACTGAGCATTTATATGCTTTTGTTTTAAGTGTTAAGATATGTAGATTTGCAAAAACTATGTTATGATCACAATTTGCTGGTGTACTCAATGTACCTGAGGAAATAAAAAAAACAGGAATATTTGTTTGTCAAATCTTGACGCTATATTGATGATAAGTTTTCTGCTAAGCTCAATGGTAAATATGCCTGTATGGTTTCCATCAAATATCTTATCTCAAAGCATATGAAATGTTCTATTTTGGGAAAATAGCATTTCAAAAGTAAAACAACTCTTGAATGTTTTATTTTGAAATAAAATATAAACCTATTTTAAATTGAATTTAGTTTGCCCAAAAGTTATAAACAACACCATAAGGATAGACATTTCATATTTAGAAAACATAAAGTAGGGGTTATGATTGCAGTTTTGGGGCAGATATTCATGCAATGTTCCAACTATGACTATAATTGGTTTAGCATGCAATAAAACTAAACAATTCTTTTCTTAAAAAACTAGCCGATGATTATGGTGGAACCAGGCAAGAATTTTTTCAATTGGTTCTACGGGTGATAAAAGATAAATATGTTGAATTATGTATGTGGATTATGAGACCTTTTGATGAATATGTAATTGTTGGAACTTTAATGGGTATGCTTAACCCATTAACCTCTACTAGCAGTATTAAACAGCAGAGCATTTTAGAGTAGGGACGTTTGACAAGGATTGAATTGAACATAGTAAAAACCCAAGTACTGGTAGGGCATTTTCAGGGGCATTGCCAGTTATGGGTGTAGATTATGTTGCTTTATCATCCAAAGCAACAATATAAAATGCTCATCATATTTACCTTTAAAGCAGAATTGTATAAATTTCAAATTATGTCACTATTTTTTTTAGGTATAGTATCTGAAACAAAGTACAATCACAGAATAAAGATCAGTAACAGAAGAGCCACTCAGCAGTGCAAGATGTCAGTGTTTTTTTTTATGCAAAAATATGCTGTTTACTGGCCAGAAGGCGGAGCAGCCAGCCAGTACAGCATGTTTATTGGCCAGAAAATGTCATCAACTGGCTAGAAATATGGCGGCCAACATACGTAATGCAACATGCGCAATGACAGAAATTTTAAAGCTTCCGACTTAAGTGGCCCTTCTATATGGATCTTTATTCTATGGTAAAATTTAATGAAACTGGTTTTTTAAGTACAATTTAGTGAGTATAATATCAATAATTACTAAGTTACAATGTATAAAATGAAATTTCATACCAAAGTGAATGTAAAATGTGAGAAACACTATATATAAACAGCATATTCTATAATGTACAAGGAGTTTTGAAAAGATGTGTTCTTCTCCAATTTTGTATATTTCTAAACATACTTGTGGTCATTTATAGCTACGTGTTTACTGTTTACACTAAAATTAACGTTTAAAAGGTGAATTTAAACTAAAATCTGATGTGAAATAAAGAAATTTAAATATTCGTTTCACATATGCGTTTAAGAAATAATTTTCGTACCTTTTTTACACAAAAAATATGTATTTAATTAAATTGCTGTGCTTGACACAATGTTGAAATGAGTGTTTTCACAGCCAAAATGCAGCGCAACTGCTGCTCTAGATTTGATGAGAAGTAAAATCTCAGGTGCCAACCTCTCTAATGTTCCTCTTGGCAGGCAACACTTACTCATTTTTAGCTTCTTATCAGTTTAATTATCCTGACACTAATCTTAATTCCTTTTCCACCTCACCTTTACTAGCTAGCTGGTAAAGATTTGGTCTACAGTGGGTCCAATGCACCCTCTGATCAGGGGTGGAAAATATAGCAGACCATGGGACCATTGCTCCCAAAAAATTTTTCTATCTGCGCATAGCGCTAGATAATAGTATCGTTGAGTTTGTGTGTGTGTGTGTTAAACACTCAGGTTGACTAATAAGGGCTGTATGCATGTGAACAGGCCGTAAAACAAAGCTGGCAGCTTTCTACAGTGACGATTGTTTTATCCTAGAAGATTTATTATTTCTTTATTTTTCGCCCAATCATTATGGTAATTATTTACATAAAAGTATTAAAGCTACAACTATAAATAGGGCTAGGAGTCTAAAGAAACCTTCATAGGCTTTTAAGGTAAGTCCCTAGTTTAATGTCCAGTTTTATATTGTGTCAATCAGTGCTAAAAGTATTTACAAGAATATTGAAATTAATACGTTAATATTGCTTTCAATAGTAAGGATAAAGTACATGATAAGAAGAAAAGTTGGAGAGGTATAAAGACATAATCTGTTAATTACATGAATATGAATTCGACTTCTTTGTTTAAAATATAAGTTCACTAGACTGTATTGACTATTGTTCATAAAATGTATTTTTGATTTTGTTTTAAAGATTGGTAGTCATCTTATTTATGTCAAGCTAACAGCATCATTCAGAATTATTACGTTATAATATTGTTATATGGCTTATTAATAGTCACAGGACATCTTACGATTATAGGATTGCTTCATAAGCTGAGTTAAAGTTAATAAAATTTCTTTACAGATTGTATGTATTTTTTTCATTTAGCACACATTAAATGTGGCAGTACAGTGGCAGACACTTTGTGAAATATTGGGGGGGGGGGAGGGCTCATCAGGGGGTGCATAATATAGGGGATCACAGGTCCCAGAAAATTTTTGAGGTTGGCAGACAAAAATGGAGGGTAAAACTCGAAATAAAAAAAAAGTAAGGAGAAAGAAAGGAAAAACAGAAAGGAAGAAAAAATCACATAATTGAGTAAGCTATAGGTAGTGAACTAGTGATGTTTGCAATATGCAAGTAATACAAGTTTCCAATATACTGGTACAGGCTGCACTCCAGCAGCCTCATATTATGGTCAAAGAGGTGAGCCGATCATCAGCAAAACATCGGCAGCTACCCGATTAATCGGTTTGTTTTTTCACAATAGGCCATCGGCTGATTGTCTTTCACCATAGGAATGGTCAGTGGTGTTAGTAAAAACTATTGAAATTTCAAATCTTTGGTGTGGAAACACTGATCGAAAGTGGAAACACACTGTTTTTTATTTTCCGTGCTTTTTGACCATGTTTTCAGCTTTTTGCAATTCATAAATTTGCAATTTTTTATCGTGGTCCTAGACTCCATGGACCAATCAAATCTCCCAGTAACACGATCAATGTTGATTTCACAATGCTGAGAAATGTCGCTCTGTTCCTGCATGTTTTTACGGGAGAATAAGTATGTTGTCGCGTTCCTTTAAGTCAGATGCATCAGCAGTTTTAAATATAGGTTAAAAGCCAAGGGAGAGGTTTTTATTAAACTGTGAAGACCGAGTGCCGAAGGCCCGAGGTCTTTACAGTTTAATAAAAACTGATACCCGCGGCTTTTAACTTGTTTATATACTCATCAGACCATATTCTTTTGAATTTTGGAGGTTTTCTTCATTAAAAATTCAAGCTATATTAATTCAATGAGAGGTCGCTGCAGTTGTGGGACGAAATAACTAGGTGTAACATGCGCATTAACACGCTTTAAAATGTGGTCAAGCATGCGCAGTATATCATTTCACGTCCCACAAGCAAAAGAGCAGATATTACTGTATAAATTCCCTGCACAAGCATGTTTGATGTTGATCCAGCTAGTCCTCGTGCGCCGAATGATAGATACTCTTACCTAATGGTAGAGTTTTGACGGGCTCTGAGGTACACAGCTGTTGTCTGTTTCTCGACTTAGAGACGTGCAACGTTTACTAGTCGAAAAGGAGATGTGGGTCTTGAGTTTTCCTGCAAATTCAAGTCCCGAATTCAAGACTCATGCCAGGTCTTGAATT